GTCCATTAAATGAGTCATAATCAATACCTGGTATTTAAATGGCCTAAGCAAAACCTAAAGAGCAAACAGGCGGACGCACCTATTCCTGGTCTGGCCTGTCCCGTACTGATCTTTGCTTACCTTTTCAAACCTACCGTCATGTCGGCAACATACACTATGCATTGTGCGATCTTGAAAAAAACCTGTTCCACGTTCTCTTTTGTATACCATGTTCAGCGTTTGTTTCATAATTTGCCCATCAAGAAAAGCAAAGATGTTTGGGTTACTTCCATTTTGCTTTAGCCCCTGGAAAGGAAAAAACATATTTCCTCATATTCCCTTCAAAACCACAATGGGGAAATGAGGCAACGTCTCAAGAAGACGAAATGTTAGACTTCTGGGTGAATTGAGGCCTTTGGGCCCAGACTCGGGCCAAAGACCCGTGGCAAGTCCCCCGATCTTCGGTCCGTTCGGAGGAGCTCGAAGGCTAGCTCTCCTCGGCCGCCGCCAATGTCCAGCACCCCGCGCTTGAGGCGCTCTCCATAGGTGTCCTACGCCAAATAAGATGCCGGCGCCTTAAAACGCCCCAGCCTTTTCCCCGTCGATTCGGCAAGATGGAGAACCCCAGTGCTCATCTCCAAAAGCATTTCAAGAGAAACTGTCGTGGTGTGTCAGCAATTGGCGCTAAGACCATGTAAGACCCAGATTCCTCAAAAGTCAAATAATTATAGATTCCCCTTAGTTGACAGATGGACTCCTCAAGCCACTGGGCGAAGACAGCGGCGCGGGCGCCGTGGCTCTTCTTGTCCGCGTGGGGGTCGTCCGGCTGCGCGTTCAGCGCCTCGACGTTTGGCCCGGTTTGGGTCATGGTCGTATCATCCAACCGCTTGATCACCCTGCTCTCTTCAAAGCTTAAAGGTGACTGTGTCGTTCTGATGGGTACGCTTTCGTGGGATTAGTTTTGAAAGGACACAAACACCACTTTGGAGGCTAGAAGACGGGTAAAACTTGACGGGTCTTGGACCCCCATAGCTGAACCTTGCTTGTGAGTGGAAGCCATCATTTCCGTACAAATCCACTTCTGAGGGCGAAATGCTCACCACAAAACGCACTAACACACGGGAGTCGAGCCCTCCAATTCCGGAAAAAAACGTGCCGGGTACTCACTTGGCTTGCAGAATCTTTTGGGGGGAGAGGGCCCACCTTCCTTGAACAACCTCCTTTGGGTCCCCCGAAAAGATTGAAGGGTGTGGCTGTTTCAACAAATACTGGCTTACCCTGGTTGCCCCATCCAAAATCTGTCCTTGGCCATCTGCGCACAGAAAATCACTGTCTGATTCTGCTCTAACTTCAGCCTAAAATCTCACATTTCTTGAAGGAACCCCCAGTTCTGGACTATTTGGTTTTAAACTTAGTGGGGGAATATCTTGAAAAAGTGGTTGGTGGACCTAGATCATGTCCACCACAGGGCCCCCTTTGGCTGACCCATGGGGCTACAGGGGGGTCCCATGAGCTCCAACGAAGGCTTCGCCGATCTTCGCCGCTTCGCCATGGCGCCAGGCGTTGCTGCTGCTCCCGGCGCCAGCGAAGCCGGGCCTCTTGCAGCTCCTCGGGGGCTGGGTGGAAGTTCTGGCACTTGGCGCGCTGGCAGGTGCCGTTGCTCATCCAAAACCTCAGTTTTCGCCCGAAGTCGAATCCGAGTCCGAAGTCGGAAAGAAAGCAAAAAGGAAAACGAAGGAAGGCTTCAGTGGCCACCTCGATGGGCTTTTCGAATCCGAAAATCCGAAGTCAAGGGCGAAGGAAAGATTCAGTGGTGGCCTGCGGCCCTCGATGTTTTCAGTGAAGCCTCATAACAACTGGATTAAGGTAGGTTTGTTTTGGTGGTTCAGTGCTCCTAAAAAAGGAATTGGAACATTTTTGGATTGGCCCAAAGGGTTGATTCAAAATGTCAAAACGGAACCCCGCAACATAGTTGGTTCGCAACATAGTTGGTTCTCCTTGAAACCACCGTCAAAAAGTTTAGCTTGGCTTCCCCATTTATACCTGGATCTCCTGGAAGTTAAGAATTCCTACTCCAAAAATGAAAAAATACTTTTTGGCGGTATTCTACTCTTGAACGGATATGTTCACTACCATCGAAGTGTTCATAAATCAGCACTGCACATAAATTGTCAAAGGCTTATTGACTTATTGCGTAATGTTTGCGTATTTCTTACGTACCTCCGAACGGGTCCGAACGGGTACGAACGGGTACGAACGGGTTCGAACGGGTTCGAACGGGTTTCGAACGGGTTTCGGGTTCCGAACGGATGCCTGAGCAGTCCTCCAGCATGGAAGAAAATACTCTTTTCTTTTTGGAGTGGGAATTATTAACTTTCAAGAGATGCAGGTAGCTGGAAGCAAGGCGTTTCCGAATCAAAACCACTCCAAACCACCAACCTCACGGGTTACCTGTTGCTCCAAACCACCGACCTGGCGGGTTACCTGAAAAAGGGCACCCCCAGGAAACCAGCGACACAGCACGCTGTTTCCGGCCACAAGGACTTGCACAAGGCCCTTCTGGAGCCAGGGTGTGGCTCAGGCGGCGCGGGCACCTCCGGCTCCTCAGGGAGTGTCCCGTGTCTTAACGCAATCCCTTTTGGTACCGTAGCTAAACATGGACCAGGAGAAAACCAAAAGGCCAAAAAGGCCGGTCTTGGACCATGTTGGGGGCACAGGTGTCCTGCTAGGGGAAATAGATGGCCCCAACCAGGAATCGCCATCTATTTTTCGACCAAACAAAACAAACCAAAAAGGAAAAAAGGACACCTATCTTTGGGAAGGATTCCCCCCCTCCCGCATTAGAAGGGAGGGCCCCTCCCAGCCGCTGAAAACGCCGGCGCCTCAGGAGGCGCCGCCCTGGGGGCCTTGAGGCTCGGCGCCTGGAAGGAGGCGCCGCCGCCCAGGTCCGCCCAGCGCCGGCGGATGCCTTTCCCGCGACAGCAGCAAGGCGTTTGTTCGGACTTGGGGCATCCGGACTTGGGGGACATCACCAAAATTTTAGTTGACTCCAAAGGGGGGTTGGGGGGGGGGGTTGACTTCAAGGGGGGTGGGGGGGGGGGGGGAAGGGGGGGGAAGCTCCATTTTTCTAGTTGACTTCAAGGGGGTGAGGAAGGGGGGGAATCTCCAATCTTTTTTAGTTGACTTCAAGTGGGGGGAAGGGTGGGAATCTCCAAATTTTGTTGACTTCGGGGGGAATCTCCAATTTTTAGTTGACTTCAAGGGAGGGGAAGGGGGTGGGAATCTCAATTTTTTAAATTGACTTGAAGGGGGGTGGGGATGGGGAAGGGGCAAAAGGGGGGGGAGGGAATGTCGAATTTTTAGTTGACGGAAGGGGGGGGGGGAGGGGGGGGGGAGGGGGGGGGAAGGCTGGGCATTGCGCAGCACATTGTCCCAGTACCTCACCTCGTACGCCCGGCGCCGCTCAGCGCGACATGGCTGCGGCTTCCTCTGCACTCTCTGTCTGCAACCCGACGATGAAGTAAACGCCTCGGCTTACATCTCTTCGTAATCGATCAGAAAAGAAGCTATACTTGCAGGATGCACTGGGCACATCGTGACTCTTCTTTTTGACGAGGTGCACCAGTTGATCACAAGGGACAGGCCACATCCTGCAACAATCTCAAGTTCGCGTCCGGCCCGAAAGTCATAGCCTGAGGCTTCCGCCACGCGCAGCTCCTCCCGTCGCTTTCGTGGTAAATGTTGCTGATATCCTGCTCGTTGCTAAGCGACATTAAGATCCAAGGCGGCATCCGAGACCAATCCACGGTGCAGGCACTTGTAGGCATCTTGGCGGCGCTGGCGAGTCGAATGCAGATGTTCCGCACCAAGCATCAGCTAAGTGATCATTCGAGGTCTCTCAAGCAGCGTTCAACAGCATTCAATAGCAACGCAGGCCAAGACACACCAATTGGATACTGCGTGTGCGCAGGGCCATGTGCTCATTGCGCCCTTAGTAGCCAAGCATCAGACGTTGGACAATGATACCTGGAACACGTGCAAACTGAATTTGTCTTCAGCAAAGGCGCAGCGCGCACTCTGCGAACAGTGGCTCGGGCTGCGGCGGGATGTGCGAGAAGCAATTGCGCCCATGAAGAAATCACCTTGTAGGCAGCAATAGCTGTCTAGAAGCCCACAAGTTATTTAGGATGAAGCTGGAGAAGTACATTTTAGGGCACACCAAGCTTAAGTTGCCAGCAAATCTGTGGAGCCATCCGACGTCGGATTGCATTGACGAAGTAGTCACCTCAGCCTCGCACACTTGAGCTGCAAGAAAAACCCTGCTGTCCTCGCCAGGTCACACCAGTTCGTCTTCAACATAAGCCCAGCACCTGTCGTGCACTCCGATATCTAGTGCGCTGGCGGATAAGGCAAAACTGAGTGTGCGATCGGTGCGTGGTACCGTGACCTCTGGAGAGTCTCATAGAGCCCGCGTAACATGAGCCAAGCCGCCGTGAACCCGTGCGCAGCAATTCGCCACAGCCATTCTGAGAGCAGCAAATACAGGCCTCGGGTACAGGCACACAGCTTCTCTGAGCTCCCACTTGCCAACGCTCCGGACGAAAGGAGCAGCGCAAGAAGCGAGTGAAGTTTGAGCAAGAAGGCTGCAGCATGACCAGTACGCGAAACTGGCGCTCAATGTCAAGCGAGCCTGAAGGCCTCACACCATGTTTGCAGAAATAATAGCGTTCGCTGCTCGGGAAGAATATTGCCGCACCACCGATGTCTCCCTACATTGGTCATACACTTGGGCATCGAAGTGGCATTCGACATTCACGACATCGCATGATCTATTGAGTGGCCCTTCTGAAACTTGAGCCATATAAAGCACGCTCGCTGCGCGTGTGTGTGTACGTGTGTGGGTGTGTGTGTGTGTGTGTTCGCTTGCTTCATGGAACAGGTCTATCAGCTAAGCTCCCCTGACTCTAGTCGTGCATCGGAACGAACCTTTGACATTCACGAGCATCACTTGCCTAGCCAGACGGCCAGCGCTGAACTTGAGCCATTCAAAAGTGAGCCCTTGCACGTGCTCATGTGTGTTGTTGTCTGCATGTGTCGTAACATTCACTGCACAGCAGCACAAGGGTATGGTCGCAACTCAAATCCAAAGGCTGTCTATGTTCACTGCCTGAGCCAAAACCTGCCTGACCCTAGAAGTAGACCTTCTTTTCTTCTCTTGGCATTCCCTTCCAAACGATCTGTTGCTTGTTGGCCCAGACAGTGCGCCAAACAATGATAAGCAAAAGGCGTGGGCCGTGGGCCACGATCGCTCACCAATTGCGAGCGCTGTGCCCAAGCAGCGCCTAGCTATGCAAGGCTGCATCAAATACAACAAGGCTTTGTGCACCAAGTAAAGAAGTGGTGCTTCGGACTGTTCATAACCTCACTGCCCCGCGAAGTGTGCGACCGCTCGTTTCCCAAAGCAAACAATTCAATGCACCCAAGCATGCTCCTTTTACGTGTCTAAGAAATAAAGGTTGCTACGCTATGTTTTTTTGAAACATTGCATCGCTAATGCTTTTCGTATTGAACGCACTTGTGTGCGCTAGACCTGCCAAACCTGCTCCTTCACAAAGGAAACCCAAAGCTAAGGTGCTGCACACGCGCACAGGAAGCAGGGAAAAGCTGTGCTAGACGCACTGTCCGCTGCGGGAATTGAATCAGTACCAAATTTCGGGGTTGCCTTGACTGTGCACGGTGCCAGTTGCTCAGAGCATGAACGCTCTCAGTCTTTCATCCTGGCAATGTTGGAGCTAGAATGCCAATATTACTTTCGCCTGGTCATGAAAATAACACTTGCCCTTTGGCATCCCATCGACGGTGCCTTGACGGCTCGCTTCTTTGCCTTCTGGCTTCTCTTCTGGCTGAGGGAGCGCGCGGAACGCGAAGTCACGTCAGTCACCAGTCATGAAACCCATGCACATGCTTGTGTTCAATCCCCTGTAAGAGCATGTGACTGCCCGCGAACAAGTAATGTCTAAGACAAAGCTCAGCCAAACCGCCTGAACACAAAGACTTCCCTCGCTATTGACATATCGCCGTGTGAAACCGGGCGTCACGAGAATCACATGCCCAAAGGAACCAAGTAAATCTATTATATTTTGCGTAGCCAGCTGGTAAGGAGTGGGGGTATACTTTGTCACACCGAGCGCCGCAAGAGATCCCGCAAATGGAGGGATCGCCCGGGCGCCGCAAGCAAGCAAACAAGTCAAGCACTTCGCCCTGTGACACCGGGCGCCGCGAACAAGAAACAAACGGAGGCATCGACCCGTGACACCGGGCGCCGCGAACAGGCAAACACGTGTAACACTTCGCCCTGTGACACGGGGCGCCGCGAACAAGAACCAACTTGAGGGATCGCCCGGGCGCCGCGAACAAGAACTAACTGCAGGGATCGCCCTGTGACACCGGGCGTTGCAAACAAGAACCAACTTGAGGGATCGCCCAGGCGCCGCGAACAAGAACTAACTGGAGGAGCGCCCTGTTACACCGGGCGCCGCGAACAAGAAACAAACAGAGGGATCACCCTGTGACACTGGGCGCCGCGAATAAGCAAACAAGTGTAGCACTTCGCCCTGTGACACCGGGCGCCGCGATCAAGCAAACAGGCGTAACACTTCGCCCTGTGACACCGACTCAACAAACAAATCAAAAGCACGTCGTCTCATGACAATGGGCCTACTAACAAATGAGTTGGCCAAGAAATTGAGTACGTGCTGCAGTAAATCACGAGCATCCGTACAAAATGAACGGCGAAGGCCAGACCCCCCAGCAAGCTCGCCAGTTGAGTCGCCAGGCTCTGCGCTCCGCTCGGCTCATGGCAGATCGGAGTCGCGACAAAACTGCTTACAAAAATGGCTGAAAAGATGAAGATCCTCTAATGACAAAGTCGGACCGCAAGTGTAACGTGATTGGGCCTGTCTTGCATTAGAAAGGGTTTAATCACTTGCAGGGGTCCCGAAGAGCATCCCCGCATCACCTTGACCGTTGACCGGGTTGGGTATCGTTGACCCGGCAACACGCCCAGTGTCACCTGGAACAAGTTGTATGCATGTATGTATGCATGCATGCAGTTACGCATGTGCGCAGTGCATGTGTATGTGTAGGCCTGTACATGAGAATGAATGTAGGTAATGTAATGTGATGGAATGTTATGTGAGATTATGTATGCATGCATGTATGTATGGACGTATCTATGTATGTTATGTATGCGCATGTGTATGTGTATGTGTAGGGACGTAATGTATTGTGGTGCAATGTGAGGTGCAAGTATGTATGTATGTATCTATGTCTGTATGTATGTATGTGCGCATGTATTCACGTGCGCAGTGGCTGTGTATGTGGAGGTGAAATGCACCTGAGAATGAATCAATGTATGCATGTACTGTAGTGTGATGCAATGTTGCGTTCTTCTGTACACATGCATGTATGTATGGACGTATCTATGTATGTAATGTATGTGTATGTGCGTGTAGGAATGTAATGTAATGTGGAGCAATGTGATGTCATGTCATATATTCTAGACCATGCTAAGAAACGGACCCCCGAAATTTAGGTTTTGTAGAATTTTTCTTATATTCTAGATGGTCCCAGCCCAGGAGGGGCCCGGCCAGGACCCTTGATGTTTAATAAATCTGAAAATTCTACATTTCGGGGGTCCGTTTTGTAGAATTGTTAGAATTCAATTCTAAGATTCTAAATATTCTAGAAATCGGACCCCAAAAAATACAATGTTTATAGAAATTTTAGAACAGAATTCAAAAAATCTAAAAATTCTCAAAATGGACCCCGGGAATTTATAATTTTAGAATTTGAAACATTCTAGATGGTCCCAGCCCAGGAGGGGCCCGACCAGGACCCTTGATTTTTAGATTTTTTGACCTATGGTTTCAATCCAGCTTTTCAACAAACAGACCTGCTTTGTTTCAAACCCTTTGTAAGTCTCAGTTTCTGTTAAAGTCAAAAGGAAATGCTCCAAGACACTGGGTGTTGTCCCACCCCACTGTTTTGTTTGGGTGCTTGCCCCAGCCCACTGAGTCGGATGCTTGTTTCAGCCCTCTCGCTGGGTGTCCGTGTCACCTTGCTTGTGGGCGCTGTTTCTGACCAAATGGAACTGTACAGTTCTTCCGGCACAAACCTCTACCCAACACAGGAAACCGGTGCACACAGGCTGTGCCATCTTTGGCAACCAGGCACAGTAGAGAACATCTGAAGGTTCAAAGAATAAATGTCAAACAGAACATGTCAAGCAACTCATGTACTGCACTCAGCGAAGCATTGGCGCTCTTGGTGTGAAACTTCCTCATGAGTCTGTTCTCAAACCCATTGCGCGGCAAAGCTCTTGACAATGCAAGTTGTTCTGTGGGACAATGAGCTGTGAATTCTGACCTCTGGGCTTGACCAAGGAAAGCCATGCACTTGATTGCTGAGGTCTGCCCATGCCTGCCGTAACGTGTCCCGTTCGTCAATTTTGGGCACACACCCCTGCGCAGCATTAAGAAGTAGCTTCGACCACTTCCCGGCCGCTGGATTTTGCTTTGCTTCTCCCAGTGTACTGGCTACGTTGAAGCTGCCCTTCATGCCTGCCAGCTTCTGCTCCTCAAAAGCTTCGGGCTGTCAAAAGGCCTTGTGCCTGGAGAAGCTCCTTGTGAATGGCCTGAAGGTCTTTGTGCAGGACCACGATCTCCTTCTCCTTCTCCTTCTCCTTCTCCAGGGCCGCGATCTCCTTCTCCTCTCCTTCTCCAGGACCGCGATCTCCTTCTCCTTCTCCAGGACCGCGATCTTCTCCTTCTCCTATCTTCTCCTTCTCCGCCAGGTACTCCGGGTCGTCTGGCACTGTTCTGCGTTGTCCACATCGAGAACCACCCGAAGGATAGCAGGGTTCGTTTCGGGCTGATGCAGAGCATCGCTGCTGAAAAGGACCGAAGGTCCACAGGCAATGCCAAGCACATGACCCCAAGACGTACACACCTGCTGTGATCATGGGCCGTCCCGCGCAATATCCTGAGCCCATCTCGCGCAATATCCTGAGCCTGGCTAATGACATGCAATGTCGACCAAGCCGAAATCTCAGCGGTAAAGCAATTGCCGCCTCTGCACAAATGTGTGAAAGGGGCCTGAAGGGGAAAGGAATCACGCATGTGTTTGAAAAAACTAGCATGACTGGTCGACAAATCTACGCTGGCTGAGGGCCTGGCCTGGGTGATGCCAAAATAACACCTGACAAACATGGAAACAACAACACGATGATTCCCCTGCGTGCGCCTTTTTTTGCGGGGACACTTTCAGGCTCTAAGACACCATGTTGGGGGTTCCCCTGTTTTCGGACAGGCTCACTTGAGTGAACCAAAGCTGGAAGTGCGGGCCAAACTGTCCAGGCCCCTCAATGCTCTCAAGTAGCTGTTTTCATTCGCGATGCAAAATAAACAAACATTGAAACAAACAGGAAGGCCAAACCCGTAGCACAGGAATACTGCAAGCAAATGGTAACATCACAGCATCTGCACCGTAACATAAAGGTAGCACAAGAACCACGAAGTTGGGAGGCTGCGCCCGTCTCGCAACCCGCCCCTCTCAGAGTCCCGGCGTCCCGGCAGCGAAGAGGAAGACGGAGCCCCCGGCACCGACCAACACCCCAGACATGATAACTACTAAAAGCCTTAACTCTTTCAAATGAACAAAATGTCAGCCCCCAGCCCAACAATGAAACAGGGGGTCAAATACTCAAATGATTACCTTAACGAAAACAAATAATGACCTCCCCAACCCCTTTTTTAAACGAAGAAGGGAGTCAACAGAATTGAAATGAACGTAAAAACCAGAACAGCCCACCCTCAACTGGTCAGGCCCCCCCCCCGTTTTACCTTCCTTTTTCTCTTTTTTTTTTGGGGAGGGGGGGGAATCTCCAATTTTTAGTTGACTTCACGGGGGGTGGGGGGGGGCATCTTCAAGGGGGGCCGGCTAGGGGTGGGAAACCCTGACGAAATGTGCAAACCTGGAAGGCCAAAAGGTGAAAAGGTTGGCTTTGGACAAAACTGGGCATTGAACAAACTGAGGGGGGACGTTGGCTTTGGACAAAACTGGGTATTAAACAACTGAGAGGTCAAAACGTTGGCTTTGGACAAAACTGGGCATTGAACAAACTGAGAGGTCAAAAGGTTGGCTTTGGACAAAACTGGGCCTTGAACAAACTGAGAGGTCAAACGGTTGGCTTTGGACAAAACTGGGCATTGAACAAACTGAGGGGGGTTGTTGGCTTTGGACAAAACTGGGCATTGAACAAACTGAGAGGTCAAAAGGTTGGCTAACAAAACTGTGCATTGAACAAACTGAGGGGGGTTGTTGGCTTTGGACAAAACTGGGCCTTGAACAAACTGAGAGGTCAAACGGTTGGCTTTGGACAAAACTGGGCATTGAACAAACTGAGGGGGGGTTGTTGGCTTTGGACAAAACTGGGCATTGAACAAACTGAGAGGTCAAAAGGTTGGCTAACAAAACTGTGCATTGAACAAACTGAGGGGGGTTGTTGGCTTTGGACAAAACTGGGCATTGAACAAACTGAGAGGTCAAAAGGTTGGCTAACAAAACTGTGCATTGAACAAACTGAGGGGGGTTGTTGGCTTTGGACAAAACTGGGCATTGAACAAACTGAGAGGTCAAAAGGTTGGCTAACAAAACTGTGCATTGAACAAACTGAGGGGGGTTGTTGGCTTTGGACAAAACTGGGCATTGAACAAACTGAGAGGTCAAAAGGTTGGCTAAACACTGTGCATTGAACAAACTGCATTGAACAAACTGAGGGAACAAACTGAGGTTGTTGGCTTTGGTTGAACAAAACTTGGCGTGCATTGAACAAACTGAGGTTGTTGGCTTTGGACAAAACTGGGCATTGAACAAACTGAGAGGTCAAAAGGTTGGCTAACAAAACTGTGCATTGAACAAACTGAGGGGGGTTGTTGGCTTTGGACAAAACTGGGCATTGAACAAACTGAGAGGTCAAAAGGTTGGCTAACAAAACTGTGCATTGAACAAACTGAGGGGGGTTGTTGGCTTTGGACAAAACTGGGCATTGAACAAACTGAGAGGTCAAAAGGTTGGCTAACAAAACTGTGCATTGAACAAACTGAGGGGGGTTGTTGGCTTTGGACAAAACTGGGCATTGAACAAACTGAGAGGTCAAAAGGTTGGCTAACAAAACTGTGCATTGAACAAACTGAGGGGGGTTGTTGGCTTTGGACAAAACTGGGCATTGAACAAACTGAGAGGTCAAAAGGTTGGCTAACAAAACTGTGCATTGAACAAACTGAGGGGGGTTGTTGGCTTTGGACAAAACTGGGTATCAAAAAGCCCGAGAGGTCAAAAGCTTGGACAACTGGGTATCCAAAAAACTCAGAGGTCAAAAGGTTGGCTTTGTTTTTTGAACAACAGAGAGGGCTTGTTGGCATAGTAGCAACTAGGCTGCTGTAGGAGAACACGTCCAGGATCCGTCCGCAGTCGCGCCAGGTGCCCACACACCTCACCACGTCCCCCACGGAGATTTGCTTTCGAACCTCTCGGACTTCACTGCCGTAGACGTCCAGAGAGAAGATGGCCTCGCGGATCTGAAAAAAACAAACAAACAAAAAACAACCCAACTAAACAAACCAAGAAACAAACAAACAAAAGCAACCAACAAACAAACCAGCAAACAAAACAACAAGGACACACCAACACAGGCTTTTCCGTGATACCGCTGAGTGGTTGATTCCCGTTTAACAAGACACCTGATGCCATATTCCTGTCATACTGTTTAGTTGAACCCTACGAAAACCTTTCTGTGATGCCGTTGCTGGGAGTCCCATCCAACCGGTGGGTGTGTCTTGGACCACCCTTTGGTGGGCTTTTAAAGGGGAACCCAAAAGGCAAACCACATTTTATGCTCTTTTTGCGGGGCGGGAGTCCCCCCAAAATTCAAGCCACGCCCCAAAGTGGGTTTTCTTGGCCTCTCATTCTCCGCGCCCGCCATGCCTCTGGGTGCGTCTCACCCTCATTGCCCAGCTGGAGAAACAGAAGCTTATTGCCTGCGAGCTGGTATTGGAGTCGGCCAGGGACTCGGACCCCGAGGCCCTTCCTTTTCTAGGTCCTCCAGTAGAGAGGTTCGAATAAGTTGGTACCGTTTCGAATTGTTTTTGGTCTATTTTAGTAGGGGAACCCTCCCCAAGGGTGAGAAAGGGCACTGCAAAACCTAGTTCTGTTTCCCCCTTAACCTAAGAAGTCAGGCCGGTGGTTTCAATTCGGAGCCTGAAGCCATGCCATGCTTTCTTTTTCTATGGTGGTTTCCTCTTTCAGGTAACCCGTCAGGTTGGTTTGGATGGCTTGGGGAAACGAAGACGTAGCGGGTAGATGGGAAATCACCTACTTGCGCGACCAGCAAGTAGTGGCCGTTCCAAAATCCGCTTGCGGGTACTGAAAGCAAGGCATCTGGAGACTCTCAAAATCACTTTTGTGGGTGTTTCTTCCCATTTCGCAGGGTGCAGTCTAAAGTGGGCTCGACTTACTCCCTAAAAACATAGTTAGTCAGTCATTTTTTCTGCGTGAAAGGACAAGTGCTAGAAAACATAGGCAAGGTGAAACAGGTAAACCTTCTGTCTGGCAAACGGAAATTCAGACCAAGCCGCCACAGCTCCTCTTGTGCAGCACTTGACCTTCCAGCTCCTGCTTTGTATCAAAGAGCCGCTGTCCTGGAAAGCCTTTGGAAGCATCTGAAGTCGCAGCCATATCCAGCCATGGACGGCTTGGGAAGTTGACGGCTTGTTTGTGCGGTTGCTTTGAACGCTTTCGTGTGTGTCAAAACAAACACGGGGAATTCTGAAATCGTGGGGTGTCTTTGGCTTCCCTTTGTTCACAAGGTGAAGGGTGCCATGCTTGTAATCACAGGTCCCTTCCAACCACAGGAGCTTCTCACTTCTGCTTGCTGGGGTTGACAGGCCAAGGCCAGCAAGCTGGTGCGCCTGGCCCGGAAACGGATGCAGCGCCTGTGCATTGGATACCTTCTTTGGCGAGCCAGGCTTGAGCATGGCGCGCGCAGCTTGGCATGGGCCAGTTGCCGCCCCATCGCCAGTGCCCTTCTACCCCGCTGACGGTGTTGCACTGAATGCTACAGGGGGTGCAGGCAAGCTTTTTGCCTGGGCTGTCCTCAGATCCCCTGCTAAAAAGTAGTAAAAACCTAAGGGCACGGCTGGGAACTGCAAAGCTTTTACAAACCCAGCACCTGGGTGCATCTCAATGTATATGATAGCCTTTGGCCGAGCCTCTAAATTCATTCAAATTCATTGGCCAAAGGTTGGTTTGGGGCACGGCCAGCCAGAAGCGCAATTGAGAGCGTTGCCATGAAACCAATTAGGGTGGGAAACGCATTTGAGACAGGGAACAATTGCCTCGTTTTCATCTGTTCCAGGTAGCATGCTAGCCAACATTTGCTCAAATCCAATACCGGAGAGCCGCTCAAGGAACATGATCTCGGCTGGAACTCTCAGGTTCTTGCGGCAAGGTGCCGAAGATTTTTCTTTGCAACTCCACCACTATCCAAGATTCAGCCTCCCTGCAATTGGTGGTTGGGATTGGTGGTTTGGTGGTTGAGGAGGAGTTTCCCATGTACCCCCCACAAGAACCAGGGCTTCAAATCCGACTCCAAAGCACCAATCTCCAAACCACCGTGAAAAAAATGGTTGTCGGGTTGCGCCGACTAGGCTTCCCCAATGGTCATATGGCAAGAAATCACCGAGTCCTATGGGCTGGTCACTAGTTTGGGAGCCTCTCCTCCTGAAATCTTCGCAGAGATGTAGCATTCTAAGGTGTAACTTCCCGGTTCAGCGCGTTCAGGGGTGTTTGCCAAAAACAGCCTCCACGAACGAAAGACAACACACATGGTTATTGAAAAGAACCCTGGTCGAGTACACAATTTTGGGAGTCGTGAAACCCACAAAGCCGATTCAAGCAATGGAAACGGAAGCCTACCCCCTCGCACCAACACGCCGCTGGTCCTGTGGAGTGGTCCAAGAGCATTTCCCGGCCGCCACGTCCGGCGGCCCAGCAAACTTCCGAGCTCAAGGCGGAAGCGTGGCAGCAGAAGGTGGCCAAGTTTGCCTGTGTCTCAGAGGGCAACTCACTTCCGATCGAGTGGATTGGCCAGAAGAAGATGCCAAACTTTTTTACCACTAGGCTGGTCTTCGCAAAAAGTAGAATATCCAGGACCGCAGGAACTCAGAGACTGAAAACCAGGGCTACCCTCAAAATGAGTCACAATCAAAACCTGGCATCAAAATGGTCAACCCAAATCCATGTAAGGAATTGAAAAGGCTGCCGCAGCTATTTTTGGCTGGGCTGCCCCTTACTAACCTTCATCCATCCGGGTTTTCGATTGTGGCTCACATGGGTTGCTTTTCTTTAGGGGAAGAACATGCACAAGCCCAAGAAAGCGCGACTCGAAAAGCACACACGTGTTGGTTGGGTTTTAAAGGGGTCATGATTTTGACGGTGTGCGGGTTCCGTCCCCCCGTATGAGAGCCCAGTATTCACAAACCCCTGATGTGTTCTTGGGTGGCCCCGTGTCCCATGATTCTTCACTGTTACAAGGGCCATGAGATGCCATGAGTTTGAGTGCTTGGGGGTCAAAGTCAGCGACTCAGTTGTTCAGTGACGCTGGAAAAAAAGGGAAGCCTTTTTGGTTGGAAGACCATTTTGAGTGGGGGCCACCAAAAAAAATGGAAAAAGGGGCAGCCACTGAACTGAGTTGGGGGTGACCTGTTGAGAGCTTGGCTCCCACCTCCGTGATCAATTTTCCCGCCCCGCTGCAGCGGATCAAGCAGTTGGAAGGACTTCCATCTTCAGCCCATTCCCACTCTCAGAACTCCGAGCTTGTTATTGCCACTATGGTCTTCCTAAAAAGTTTGAAGTCCATGAACTCAGGAAGTGTGCTGACTTTATCCGCCCCATCGTGTGCTTAACTTTCCTGTGGGCTGTGAACATTGGTGAGTTACTTCGCACCCCGCAAACTTGGTCAGACTTAGTCCCCTTCAGAAAGGAACAATGATGGAAACCCGAAAGCCAACAGGACAGTTATGCCTGGTGCAACTTATCCGTGCAACTCAAACACATCGTTTTAGACGTTTGGCTTTGCACAAAACACAAACATGGTGGCAATGCAAAACCAAGACCAAGCTACACGTTGGCTTCTAAAGCAGATTTTGGCGATCCAAAGCAAGTTCCACGTTGGCTTCTCGCAATGCAACTTGGACGGTGCTTTTGCAGGGGGTCTGGAATAATTAAGCCATGACACATGCCCTTTCGGTTCTTTCTTGGGTAAGGCAAGTTGAAAGACATTGGCGAATTGGCAGGTAGATCCAAATCGGAGCCCTCGAGGAGATTTGCTTGAGGTTTCCATTGAAAGCCGTTTCTTGAGACTGACCCTAAACGGGTGGCTCGTCTTTTGCGAGAGTTCAATGGGAAACCAAAAGGAAACCCACGTCGCCCGATTTCTTACTTCCTGGATTGGCCCAAACAAGTCCAAGGGGACTGTTATTTACCCCCCCAAAAGTGAGTAACGTCCAGCAACTCAGGGAGTGAGATCTTTCACACACAAGTTTGCTCGCTGGTCAGGGAATGTGGGAAGGAACCTGGCGATTCACATGGAAGGAAACCAAATCGGGGATGGTTTATAGGGGGTCATTCCATGTCTTCCCTGCACCGGCAAGCTTGTTGGTTTTGGATCCGCAATGTTCACATCGCCCACAACCCAGGACCGCTAAGCTGCGTCGTCTTTCAGGACCGGATGCCGCGCCGCGGCCGATGGGGAGCTCAGCAAATTCTGCCGCGCCTCTGCCAAAGGCACGCCAGGGGGTGGGGCCAATGCCTTCGTTGATCCGGGCGAATGAAAGTGACAGCCTAAAACAAATATCCCCTAAACCGTGGCCAAAAAGACAAATCATCCAAACAACATCTTGAAAGTCGTTGAGAGCAGTCACACTCAGAGAACCAGATTATACGTGTGACAACCACTGAAATACGCACCGAGAGAGTTGACCTGAGCGCGCATGGAAAGGCTTTCCCAAGCCTTGGCTTCCCGTAGGGGGACATCATCAGCGTGCTTTGGACTTGAAATCCAAGAAGAGACCTGGGAATAAATTTGAAGCCTCCGAATTGGAAAATCGCATTGGGCTGTTCAAAAGGGGAAGCCACTACACATCCTGTTGAAAGAGCCCAATGGAAGGATCCATAATTGCCCTTCAACAGCCAGTAAGTTGCACCGGGTGATAGAAACAACCTCCTTCAAGGTTCCCTGCACAAAAGCCAACATCTGCCATAAAGGCGTCGTTAAGCTGCTTTTGGGAAGGTTGGTTTGGTGTAAGCTGGACATCCCCTGCTAATTGGATCAAGTTTGCAAGTCACAGGTGTAAAAGCGAGCGGATAGTTTGTTGGCAAATACTTGCTGGCTTGTTCCCGCTCGTTTTCTTTGGGGCAAACTCATCCCATGGGCCTCCACTTCCCACAGTAACAAGCGGATTGCCCTTTGGGTCGTTGTTTTCAACGGGAACCCCCAAAACATCACGACTCTTTCCACGCCAAAGGACCCCCATCAGCATTCCAATCTTTCGGATGTAAGAACCCCTGATCGCACAACATCACAACGCGGGGCAGATCTTCCCCCGCGGCTCGACTCGACTCGCGGCTCGACTTTCGACTCGACTGCCTCCGCCCAGCACTCCTTGGGCGCGGAGGCGAAGAGCGGGGTACGGCAGCCTCGAGTCTCCGGTTTCGGCAGTTTGGTCATGCCATGTCTCAAGACTCAAGTTCTTTGTCCTCTTGGATTCCCCTGAAACGGCAGAACCGTAAATGAGAAATGGATCCCCAAGCAAAGAACCTACATCATGGTCGCTTTAACGAGTCCCAGGCAAGCTATGCAGATTTATGTTTCCATTTGACCTTGTGCGGTTGGAAGTTTGGAGAAATGGCATCCTCACCAACCTCCCACTGGAACGTCTTTGTGATTCGTGCGTCAGTGATCGACCTGTGGGTTGGTCAATCTGCCAGTTTGCCATTGGCCCCCTCCTGACGAGCCCCACACGCCGACCTGCCTCATCAACCCGCTCTCAAGTCACAAATCAGTGGGAAGCCCTCCAGGTTTTGCCCTAGGTCCTCCAGTAGAGAGGATAGAGTAAGGGTACCCATGGTACCCTTTTTTCTGCAGTCTAATTTAGGGGAACCCTCCCCCAAAAAAGAAAGGCTAAAAGTTGGCACCAATGGCTGGGGGACCTAGTGCCGTACTACCTAACCTTGCCAGGTGCGAAGAAAAAGGACAAGAAAAAACGCCGCCGCTGCCAAGGCGGCAATGATTGAAGTCATAGTACCCGTCCCAGCACTCATCGTTGCCTCTCTGCATCGCTGGGCCATGGCCCAAAAAATCCATGGCCCCTTTGGGAGGCTCCTGGGGTCCATTCATTACCTGCCCAGTGGATTTCCATGGGAAGAAGAGGATCGGCATCCTTTTTTGGTTGACTTTGGAGGGAAACCCTGCCTAAAGAAAGGAAAAGAGGAAGCAAGCCACTGGGCAACTGGGATTCGAAGTCCACCCCCAGATCATTTCTGAGAAAGGGCGGAGAGAAAGCTGACACCCTCTGCCAGAAGGGCAGAAGGGCCAACGCTGCCTTTTTCACCTGCTTCAGACAAGTGCTGAGGCGTATGCGCATCCCTCCTACATGTGACTAGCACAGAACCCAGGCCTTCCGTATCAACCTGACCACATGCCGAATGCCACTCAAATGGACTCCGGCTCCTGCAAAAAAAAACCGGGGGAAATGACAAACACCTACCCTGGAACCTCCTCGCCCGCCAGGGGCCCCCGGGGCCGGGGGCCCTGGCCAGCCGCGCCGTGGCGGAGGTCGCAGCAGTAGTCGAAGTCAAAGATGTCATGCCAACAGCCAGGGTTCCCTGGCCCACGCGCTGCGCGCTCTTTCTGCCCCTCTCCCCCCCCCGCGCTGGGGGGCAAGCACATTGATCAACATTGGTTGAAAAACCAAGGGCTCGTGGTGCAAGGAATCGCCCGAGCCAACCCCCGACCTGTCGGGTAGCCATGAGTGGTTGCCAAAGGGTCCGCCAGCCGGACCCAAAATGAGCCATCAAAAAGGTCACCCAACTGGCAACTGTGCCTGAACTGCTGAGTAGCCCTCACTTTCGGCTTTTTTGGTGCCATCTATGGAGAATTGATCTGAGGCAGGCTCCATGTGGATCCCCAAAGGCAAACTTGCGCCAGGGTAAGAGCAAATTCTAGAGCATGTTCGACCTGTTCTTCCCTCCAGTTGGTTCTTGTTCGTATTGTTTTAGAGTTTGTGAATCCAGAACGGCAGCCCATCCCAGCCATTCAAACAATGACACAATTCTCCTGTCGGTTACGGGTGTGCTTGTACCAAACTGGGCTAACTGCGTCAAAACTGGGGACAGGGTAGTCTGGAATCAGCGAAAACAGTTCAAAACTCGAGGTAGGGTCATTGGCTAAGCACCTGCTATACAGGCAACTGAGGCTTCAGTAATGTTTAACCCCCAATTGTACGAATTATAATTGGGGCCTCTATTGTAGAAAGTGTTCTTGCTAATTGAGGGTCCTGTGACTGTTTTGGGGTCCTCTGTTGTGGAAAGTGGTTTGCCGGAAAAACAACATGCCGGGAAAAGCAGGCAAACGCAACTGGCAAAACAACACGGGCAACAAACACGTGCAAACAAATCCGGGCAAACATTTGGAATTCCTGCTTTGAAGTGATCCCCAAACCATCAAATTTTAAGATGACTTCTTTACACAAAAGTACGGGCACACAGTCACACAAACGGGGTTGCCCACAAGAGGCCCTGATCCTCTGTAATGTGACTGTTTCGGGGTCCTCTTTAGCGTCCAACTTCTTTTTTTTGGGGTTGCTGAAACACCCAAATTAAAGCCTTAGCTTTTCACTTTTAAACGGAAGTTCATCTAACCTAAATTTTAGACTTGCCAATGCTAAAATAGGTACGGGGAATCTGAGAGTAAGCCCTGTCAATACTAAATTTAGCTTTGGCAATAGAAAACTGAGCGCTGGGAATCTGAAGCCTTGGCAACTCTTTCAATTTAGTCGTGGCAATACTAAAGCAAGTACAAGCAAGTCCAAGTCCCAGACCCCCAGGATTTTCACTAACGAGGGTCTGGGTGACTGGCTGTATTGGTCAAGGGTGGGGGTCAAAGCATTGAGGGTCCAACTTTACTTTCCCCCAACTCTCAAACGTTCGGCTCCAGCCAAAACTAAAGGAAACAATGAACACAAATCGGACCGCTTGAAAGTTCGATCTTGGACAACCACCCCCCTTGGCCGCCCCGCCTCTGACCACATCAGGCATCGAAGCAAGCGTGTGCGGGTTTGTGGCGCATGTGACACTGGTCAGGTGTAACATCACCCAGATCTAACCTTGATTGCTGTTGACCCCTCTGCTTAAAAAGCTGCTCACTCGTGGAATCATAAAATATCCACTGTCTCAACCAAAAGCTAAAGATTGAAGATTGAACCCAATGGACAATGGCCCAAAAAGTGTCGTTGACATCCGGAACCCCTGCGCAAATTTCCCGTTTGCAACCTGTTTTGGGACCAGCTTCGCATACTTCCCAGACAAAACCTGCGCTCTTAGCGGACAACCTTTCCAGTGAGACAATTACTGTAAATTGACCTCGCTGCCGCCTTTGAGTGGGGAGAGATTTTTCGTTGAAGAGCGGTCGCGTCTGATTAGTATAGTCCTGGCAAGAATCCGAAGTCGACAGTACAGTAATTTAATTGCCCGAGATATGTTCCTGATTCTCATGCTGCCTTGAAGGTGGCCCTAAATTGGCAAATGTAGCTGACCGGACCGGCTTGCTTCTGCTTGCAAACTAGTTCGTTGACCAGCCCTACTTGCCACAAAGAAGCGCTGCTCAAGCCCAGCTCATCTGCGGCACCATGACGGGCAAGATCAATATTGCGGCCATGCATCCGCACAAATAGCGTTTAAGCAGCCAACCGAGGGGTGAACCCTGAAATAGAATTTATTTGGACGCCATCAAACCAAAGCTGGGCTCAACCTCACGGCGCATGGCGGCCGCAACCTTGCTCAAACTGCTGCACCATTTCTTCTACTTCACCAGAATCAAGGACCTGAGTGAGGGAGCTGCATCATGAGCCTTCTTTTTGTTTCTTTGGTGAGCTGGCTCTAATTGGTAAACATCCTCCAACTTCAGCCCCTGAAATGGGCCAACAGGACTGTAACCACGTGGCGCACGCTGCGCAGGGCAACACCAGCTGCTTGGCCCATGTTTCGTGGAATGGGTCAGCTCAAGTGACTTCAGCCACACCCACAGTCCTTCGGGAAAAGGAAAACAGAGCAGGGGTTCGTTTTCGAGGAGCCAACCCCATGGGTTAAGAAATCCGCTTCCAGTTCGGATTGGTGGGCTTAATGATTTAAATCGGGTTTCATCCATACCAACTGCAGGATCTTGTCCGCAGTTGACCCCCGGGAATGCAATTACAATCGCATCAATCGCCGAAGGCTGGATGGGCCATGTGTCGCAACCCACATAAATCAAAAATGCGTGTGTGTGTGTCATTTGTTTCGAGGGTTTGCTGTTTTGGCTTGGTTCAAAGGGAAGTAGGGAAACCAGCAAATTTTAGGGGTTCCGAAAACCCGAGTTTGGGGCAGCAACAAAACTGCCAAGGGCGTTGCTGACGTGTGGGCACTGAATCAAACCAACCCCCAGCTTTGGCTATGGGTCATGGAGTCATTCGCAGTACGTCGCACAAGAGCCCATGCAACCCTTCAGCCAGTACCATATTTCTCTCCGAGACCTCAAGGAAAGCACTTGGATTTACCCTTTGACCCTAAGTGGCCCCTGCTGCTTTCCATTCCCCAAAAGGCGGCTCACCGTTTTGAGACAATACAGGACCCCCCTCAGAGAGGATTTCTACACTTTTCCCTTCCCAAGCGGGTGTAAGTGCGAACCCTTAGAAAGCAACATATTTTTTTCGGAAACGCCGATATCGCCATTAGGAAGTCATACCAAGCCCACCATTGGCAGTCGAGCTCGGGCTTTTGGGGCTGTGAGTTTTCTGGTTCCCGGCAAAGAAGCCCTGGATGGGAAATATAGCAACCAAAAGTTGAGGCTCAGAGGGAAACAAGAGGCATGCAAGTGGTTGACAACGGGAAGCCCAAAACCGGACTCTGATTCAGCACAGGCGAGGCATCAGATGAACCATACCACCGCTTTGAGATGCTCGTGGTGGCAAGGCTTGATTTCACGAAACAACCCAAGAAAAGCCACAAAGAAGAACCACAAAGGATGGTAGTTCAGCCCACATAAGGTTTGGGTCACAACCAGCTTCTCACTCGAGAAAGCACCCCTGTGGCAATCGGCAGTCAAAGGGTGGAACGTGGATGCCAAAATGGCTCTCAATGACCATGCGAACTCCTGAACAAACACATATTGGCCTAAAAGAAGCTACGTGCTATAATCATCCACTATGCACTTGGTTAAACAAAGCACACACACACACATTGACATGTCGATAAGGCTGTGAGCCTTCTTCGTCTTTGAGAGGGCCTGAATTTCTGCAACCCCCGTTGAGCAACATTTCTTGAGCGCGATTTTGCACATGGACCTTTCAACTTCTCTCTGCTTCCTTTCGACGAGGCAAGGAAGCCGGGTTTCCTGAAAAGTCTTTCCGGTCCCTGGGGAAAAAAACCCTGGGAGGTCTCAACCAAACTTGCCGTCCCAAAACGTTTGAGCAGCGGCCGAACTTTTTCTCCAACTCGGGGAATGACATCATAAACCCCGGGAGTTGTGAGAGCCTTGCCATGTCCACAGGTGCGGCCCTCATATAAACCGTTTCCTTTTTTTGCTATGGTGTCCTTCTCTCACTTCCTCAGTGGATGACCCAGAACAAGTCCAATCTGTTTGTTTTCTCAAACATGTGCAAAGTCCAGTATCAGGACGTGAGCTTTCGACATGACATGATCAGGAACCCTCTGATTCTCACAACACCTTCATTCGGAAGCCACCCAAATGGTAGGATTCGGAGGCTTCAAGCGTAGCCAAGCCACGCACACACACACACACCACAAGCAAGCAACCAAACCACTCAAACACACACATTGAACACAAAGAGAGAAAGAGCAAGAGACAGGGGGAGAGAGAGAGAGAGAGAGAGAGAGAGAGAGGCAGAGACAAACAAGCAGACAAACAGACAAAAAGACAGAGAGACAGACAGCCAGGCAGAAGGACACGCAGACAGACAGCGGCAGGCAAAGGCAGGCAGGCAGTTAAGCAGCCCGGCCGGCAAACAACACAAGACATTCAAGACAGTCAAGACACATGCAGGACATGCGAGACATGCGAGACATGCGAGACATGCAAGACGTGCAAGACAATCAAGCAAGCAAGCAAGCAAGCAAGCAAGCAAGCAAGCAAGCAAGCAAGCAAGCAAGCAAGCAAGCAAGCAAGCAAGCAAGCAAGCAAGCAAGCAAGCAAGCAAGCAAGCAAGCCAAGCACACCACATCAAACACACAAACAATCAAAAACAACACCCTCTCATGCGCGAACACGCGCGCACACACTCACTCACACGCATGCCACCAGCCGCACGAAGTTACATGACCCACTGCTATCCCGAGCCCAACTCTACGAATCAAGCGGCATGTAGGTGACCAGGGCGTTTTTCAGCAACGAAAGCGCCGATCTCCTTTCACTAATCCCTCAAGCTTGAGTTCGAGAGTCCGAATCCTTTTAAATCAGGCGGCTTCTGGATGTTGGAAACCCTGTCTTCTTGCAACTCTCGGGGACGCCGTTTTGGGCCCGGTTCAATTTTGAGTAGGTAAACCTGAACTGGAGCAGGGGGCACAACTTTGCGTGGACTTGGATTGGAAGACATGTGCCTAAAACGGTATGCGTTAAGACTGTGCCTCAAACACATGACAAACAAAGTGCTCTAAAGGATGAGCTCGGACACCAGGGACAATGGCAAGTGCAGCTTGGTTGCATTCACAAGGACGCCTTGTAAGTTATTCTGCGACCAAACATGGCTGGGTCGCTTGCGCCAGCTTGCCAAACACCCAACAAAGCTCACAATTCACACTTTGCTGATGGCCAGCATCAGTGCTTCTGGATTGCGAGCTGAGAGCTCTCAACAAATGCATGCAAGCGAGCACATCCGAAACTGGCTGGTGATTCGACACCTGCCATTGGCTCGTTTGCCTGCTATTGATACAACTGGCCGTCCCCTGCTCATGTGACACGAGTGCTTTGCACATGGCACGCACCTGCCCCTCACCCCAGAAGTCTAGGGCCCGAGGAGGAAAGGGCATGCCTTTCTGGGTGGAACCCCTCCAAAAGGAAACAAGCAATGCGCTGTCCTCATTATGAACGACTCTCAGGTACACATGTTTGCTGAATCGACAAGCCCAGACTCCCAGCCTCAAGCCCTCCCCAAACAGAAGAGTGACTGATTTCTGGTGCATATTAGGTAAGCTTAACATCACTTCAGTTCAGAGGCCCCAGTCAAAGGCCCCAGGGTGGTGGGTGGGGCGCAGATCGCTGCACACGCAGGAAACCGCGGCGAGGTGACTCCAAGCTTTCGCAGTGAAGTGCTAAGACGGCCATGGCAGAAGCACACTCGAGGCCGCTGTGTTTTGCAGCATGGAGGTGAGAGGTGTCACCTGGTTTGAGGGTGCTTTTGGGATGTTTCCTACACGGGAAAACCAATGACTTTGGGAACTGCCTTTGGGGAGAATCCCACCTGTGAACTTCTCTGACAGGTGGCGCACCTCCCTTGCCGACAACCTTCTACGCTGACCATTGAAACACGTTCATTTCTTCAGCCCGCGACATTCGTCGCGTGCGATCTCGAGAAGGTGGGGTCAAGCTGTGTGAGACAGTTTCAGTCTACCCAGGACCGAGTAAAGATTATCTGACATTCAAATCTGCCAGAGAAAGTCGAACGCAAGCGGTCTTGAGGGGAGTCTCTGCTATGGAGCCTGACGCAGCTACCGTTGCAAGCATTCCTGCGAGGTGGCAAACAAACTTCCGAAAAGCAGCTAAGACGTTGACAACTCAACAAAATAATTTGCACACGCTTGAAGATAGTTTGCACACGCTTGAAGATAGTTTGCACACGCTTGAGTCTAGGTGACGCATACTGATTCACCAAGCTGAAATGAGGACTCCCAAGAAAGGACCCGTCACCATGGGCCTTTCCCCGGGCACTCGATGGCAAAGTCAATGAGTGCCACTTTGCGTGGACCTTGGGAAATGCAACGCTGTGACGGCAAACTGCTCGAAACGCATCGGTCTCATTACATGGGACATGGGGCTAATGGTTGGGTTGACGGGAAGGATCCCTGTCCGGCGCGCTATGTGCGAGGACCTGCTGGAGTTGAGGATTTGGAATGAAAGCCGGCCTGAGACTGTCCTTTGCAGGGGTACGCACAGAATCGGAAACAGGTCTGAAAGTCAGATCCAGGCGTTTTTTTCTCTCTTTGTTTTTTTCTCTCTCCCTCCCTCTCTCTCTCTCTCCGCTTTTCTCTCTCTTCTCTTCTCTCCTCTTCTCTCCTCTTCTCTTCGCTTCTTTTGTTGTTCTTGTCATTTCTTTCTTGAATTCATTGAAAAACAGAACTCCCATCCAAGAAGCCTCCCGGAGCTTCAAGAAATTGAGGAAACACGGAAGATCCATCCGAGACAATGGGTGCAGTCTGTTCAATCAGAGGAGGGTGGGAATGTTTGTTGCCGCTGTTCCTGGCCCAGATAGCTCTTACTTGCCACGCATGCCTGGTGGGTCGGGAGTGTCAATAATTCAAAGAAACATGGGAGTCCCGTCCGAGGATGCTTTTCAACCAGAGCAAAATTGGACACACTTGTTTCTTTCTGTCTTTTGCCACGAGCCATGTAGACAGGCGTAGCAGTTCAATTCAG